GCTCGGCCTGCGGCCACCTCGGCGGAGCCGCAGCAGCCGCGGTGGCACCTGCGTGGGCTGCTCTGGAGCATCCAGGCTCCTGCTGTTTTCAGCCAAGCGTTTCCCAGGTGAAGCAGCAGCAGAAAGGCCGCTGGAAAAAGAAAAACTCGAGAATATGACCCTTTTAGGCTATTTTGCTATGTATAAAACAGCAAAACGAACCACAGTTCTAGCTTGCAAAGTTGGAATTCCTGTGGTGTATCCGTGTGCACCTCCTGTAACGCATGTCCTCTTGGCCGCTCTCCCCTGGGATGAGCTGTGGCTGACAGCAGTGGCAGATGGCCTGAGGTACCAGCACTGAACCCCCTTCCCAACAGCCATTTCTGACTTTTTTCAACAGCCATTTCTGACTTTTAACAGCCATTTTCAGAGCCTGGGGCACACTGCTGGCTTGCAGCATGGCGTCTGTGGCGTGGGGTTTGAGGCCGGTTAGTGTGCTGGCAGAGGAGCTCCTCTCAGGACACTGAATAAAACAGTTTCTCGTTTGCTTGGACAGAGCTGGGGTGGTCGGAGTCTGTACCTTATCTTGATGGGCCTCCGTCCCTGCTGGAGTTCTACTGGCAATGGGTGAGTCCGAATAAGCCTTGTATAATTCAGAACGCCATCAGCCACTGGCCGGCTCTGAAGAAGTGGACCTCGGCATACCTCAGGTATGAACGAGCTTTGGAGTAGGGCTGGTGCTCATTTTCAGTGGATCTCAGCAAAAGGCCCTTGGTTAATCTTTGCTTTTATCCTTAAGAATAGCTCAGGTTCCTCCCTGCTTCTGTACGAAGGGGTTCAGTCTTGCCAAACTCATCTAAATTCTCTCCTGCAAACATACTGCCCCGACCAGTTCCAATGCAGTCAGGAGGGTGCGTGCTTTGCGTGCAGCCAGCAGGCTCAGGCTATGGAAACCCAGCCCCTGTGCTGTGCTCAGGCCAGTGCTTCACTCTTGTTCATGACTGAATACACTCTTTAAAAAAAAAAAAAACAACAAAAAAACACCAAAAAACCAAACCATGAGCATCTTAATGACTGGTATTTTTTTTAAAAGTTCTTTTTTTGAGACGTTGTTTCTGCTTAGACCTAAAATCTATGGGTTTTAAATGAAATTTCTCACAGAAATGAAGGCTTTTGGCCTCAGGGTGTGCGTGTCTGTCAGTCTCTGTCCCCCCTTTTTCCCTTCTCTATTGCTTTTGAACAAGTGGCTGCTCAGATTTGGCTGGTGGCCCTGAGAGTATCAGGCTGTGCCGTGATTCATGGAAAATATGGACCGAAGAGGGCCCTCTGCCTGCACAGGGACTGAAAGGGAGCTTCTTTGTGAACTCACCTGTCAGACATGAGAATCTGGAGAGGTGAAAGATGGGCTGTCTTGACCCGCAGGAAGCAGTCGGAGCAGAATGCCAGGGTCCTTGTCAGACAGCAGAAAGTCTAGTCTAGAGACACCCATCTGTGGAAAGCCAGGCTTCTTGGTCTGACTGCCCACTAAACACCTTCTTTTAAAAGTAACTGTTGTCCAATATATGGGTCAATTGCAGGTCTGGCTATAAACCTTTGATTTAGTTTGCAGCGAGGTAGTAGGTCCAAGGTAGTCAGTGTGGCAGTAACACCAAATGGTTATTCAGATGCGGTGTTTCAGGACCGTTTTGTCATGCTAGAGGAGCGCCAAATGCCTTTCATGGACTTTCTGGACATTGTGGAGAAGAAAGTGACCTCTCCCAACGTATTCTGTGTGCAGAAGCAGTGTTCAAACCTCACCAAAGAGTTCCCTGAGCTTGTCTGGGATGTGCAGCCTGACATACCATGGATGAGTGAGGCACTTAGTAAACCACCTATTTCTCCTATATTGAGTGAATGTTTTGAATGGAGCTTAAAACAGTCATGCTGGGCACATGGTGAACGTTTGTTCTGTTCCTGGATGCCACAGCTCAGTTTGGTTTCCTCCCCTTAAAAAGTAGAAGTGGTAAAATACCTCAGTAATAGGGTAATCCAGGTTTGGGTTGCTCCAGGGTCGGTATCTCAGCTGTGTATTGGGACCATCACAACTGAGACAATGTGGTGATAACGCCATGTAGCCCTACTTTTCGTGTAGTGGCTTTTTCTCTGATTCAGAGTCATGGTTTTGACTTGGGATTCATGCTGTTGCTACCAAAGCTAGCATCACAAATGAGCAAAACCACACACAGCCCCTGTTTTACAGCGTGTCTTTCCTTAGAATGCCCGTGAGTGTGGTTCGCTGTGATCTTGCCATCTTCTTGCAACTGTACGTGGACATGCGGCTGTTCCTCGGTGAGCGGAGTCTCGGGGATTCAGGCTGTGAAACCCAGGGTTGTAACCGTGGGTTTGGGGATGGGTAATGCTGTGTCGTGAACTCTGCTGGGCACTACAGCGGCTGCCGGTGTGGGAGGAGGTTGCTGTTGGTCACAGGGTGCTGTTTGCAATGAAACCTGTGACGGGAAGGAGGTTAAAGGATGGAATTTGGCAGAAATTGGCAGAAAATTATTTTAAATGCTTTTAAACATGGCGCTTCAGATTACTTTGTTGGACACCATTTCTCTATTCCCTAACCCTACAGGGAAGAAGCCTGATGCTGTGAATTTCTGGCTTGGGGAATCGGCTGCTGTGACATCTTGTACGTATTGTATGGCGCTGCAAGTTGTCTGTGTGCTTTCAGCATGGGTTTAAGCAGGCTGGTTTTGAGTTGGTGGCTCAGTAGGACTGTGTGTTTGACAAGGCACTTTAACGTGCTTTTTCTGCATTCTTTTCTCCTGCACTTCTGCAGCCTTTTGCTGCTGTGTCTTGGTGCGCATTGACCTGGCGCTGGCAGTTTGCTTTGTTGAATAACTTTGCTGCAACGCTGTGTTGTTACTTTCCAGTCCCACTGGCCACAAGAAAAGCAGCCAGATAATAAGAGGACAAGCTGACACTTTCAGTTTACTACAGGAGGAAATAACCCTGCTTTTCCCTTTCTCTCCACATCCCTTTTTTTCTGAATCCTAGTACATAAAGATCATTATGAGAACTTGTACTGTGTGATATCTGGAGAGAAACATTTTCTACTGCATCCACCGAGTGACCGTCCCTTCATCCCCTATGGTATGTAATTTACTGTGCAGTACGTCTGGAGGGTGGAAGGAGGAGAGACTAAAATATTGAAAGATGTGAAAAAGGAAGCAAAGATAACATTTTGATGTTTGTGCAGTGTTGAGCTTTCCAGCGTGAACAGAAATCTCTTCTCTTTCATGCTGCAGGTAGTTTGTAACACAAGCATTAATCTGTGGTCAGGTTTTCAGTCCCGTAAAGTAATAGGTTCATTGGTACTCGTGGCAGTCTCTTCAGCTTTAGAATATTTAAATTATTAAGTATCTTGTCAGTATTGTAGCATCTCATCTTTGATGTTTAACAGGTTTGGGTTCTGCCTGTTCATGCTTTTCCCTAGGAAAAAAGCCAGGAAGCTGAAAAATAAGTTGTAATCTAATGAAATATTCAAGTTACTAAGTGAATCTGAAAACTGGAGAAATGACAAAAGAGATTCTTATGGCAGCATTACTTCACATTGCCCGTTTTTTGATTCTTCCTGTGGCTTTCCTATGTACACAGTAATAGCTTGTTCTATTGCAATCTATTGCAATCATCTATTCTAGATGATTGCAGTGTCATGTGGAAGATGGACAGCTTAATTTTATGCCTCATAAAATAAGACTTTATTTTCTCATCCCTTGACTTTCAAACCTTCAAATTATGTGAATGCGGAGTGCTGTAGGACACTAATATAATTTTGCCTAGATCTGTGCGCTGCTACATTGTTTCATTTATAGTGGTTTTATTTTGTTTACAACCTTGAAATAATAGAATCATAGAATGGTTTGGGTTGGAAGGGACCTTTAAGTCCATCCCCGATTCCATTCACTAGACGGGGTTGCTCAAAGCTCTCTCTGACCTGACCTTGAGCACTTGTGATGATGGGGCATCTCCAGCTTCTCTGGGCAACCTGTTTGAGTGCCTCATGACCTTCGTCGTAAAAAATTTCTTCTTTATGTCCAATCTAAATCTGCCCTCTCTTGGTTTGAAACCACTGACCCTTGTCCTGTCACTACAGGCCTTGGCAAAAGGCCTTTCTTTGTCTTTCTTATAAGCTGCCTTTATATATGGAAAGGCCACAATAAGTTTTCCCTGAGGCCTTCTCTTCTCCAGTCTGAACAACCCCATCTGTCTCAGCCTTTCTTCGTAGTCAAGGTGGTGTTACATGTATGCAAATGTGTGACATACATGCATGTCATGTGAGCCATACTTTGCAAAGCAAGTTACTGTTAAAGCATGGAACAGAGATAATGCTGATATTTGACAGTGTGTAGTAAAAAGACGACTCCATCTTTCTGAACATCAGGTTAATGGAGGGGAAAATCTCTCAAGGGAGGCTTAGAAAACCACAGGTGCCGAAGCAATGAAAGAAAAGCAACCTGCAGTATCTCAGGCAGTTGATGAGCCCTGTCGGATAACATTAGAAGTGAAAGGCTGGCCACAGGTCATTAACAACTCTTGTGAGTGCTGTCTTACACTGAACTAAGAAGAAAAGGCAGACTGTGAAACAGTGTGCAAGTCAGGGATGCTTTTCTGGCTTCTGAAAGGGAAACAAGACCATTACTGGAACAATACAGGAGTAAAATGGGTTTTGAGGAGAACAATCCCTGTGAAGAAAGAAGATTGTAATTCCAAACAGTAAGACAGTTGAGTATTCAGACTGACTTTAAAAAAACAAAATTAAGAAACTAGATAAAAATTGAAGTGGATAAAGGGAAGGACACTAAGTTGAAAATTATTTTATCTTAATTTTTATTTTGCACAGTGAAAGTGTGGCGCACCCTGCCATTAGTTTCTCTGAGTACTACTCTGAGTTGTTCTGTTTAATTCTTTCTGTGCTTCCAGAGCTCTACCAACCAGCCACCTACCAGGTATCAGAAGATGGCTCATTTGAAATTGTGGATAAGAAGAGTGCAGATAAGGTAACAAAGTATATAAAGAACTCAATCAATACAATAAAGATAGTTTTGGGCACTGCTGAGCCCTCAAACTGAGCATATTTATTGATATTTAGAAATCCTTCATTATTGAAAAGAGAATGCCCAGATATTTCACTTGTGTTTTACTCTTATACCCAGCTTCCAGAAAAGCTTTGTACTGCACACCTGAAACCGTCGGTATCCTAAACTGTCTTCTGTGCACCAACCTTAAATAGATCCAGTAAAGGACTTCTAAATGAACCAACAACAAAGGACTTGATTTCATTAAGGTGGAAATAGACTCCTCTGCATTCACTTCCTTTTGGCCCTCTACTCAGGCTTGGATTTTGCTCTACAGCAGTATCACCCAGTGCAATAAAACATACCCGTCTCAATGAATAAGTTGTAGTTTTTTAGTAGTAGCAATATTTATTTGATTAAAATGTATAGATCTGTAGGCAGTTTAGAAAAACTCAGTACCCTTCTGTATCTGATCTCTCTTTTTGCCTGTGCAACGTGTGACTGATGCTACAGCCGAACTTGGGCTGGGGCTTTTTCTCTGGTTCCAGAGTGGTGCTCGTGGAATCATTCCTGTAACGCAGTAAAGGTGGGGTGCTGAGGTGTATAACTCTGTAGGGCATAGAAGAAATGAATGCAGGCAAGAGGGGTTTCCCAGCAGAAAGGAGGGGTTTAGCTGCTGAGAATAAAATTAGGCCAGATAGCTTAAGAAGAAGAAAGAAATTTCAAGAGAGTGGTGTGGATAAAATACTCCATTGTTGAACGTGGGAGTAACAAGTGACAAAGGGCTGGAGGTGTCTTGTAAGTGAGACTGAAATTTCATGGCTGACATTCAGCACCTTTTCCCTAATTAGAAATGCGGCACTGTAGGAGGCAAATTTTTGCATCCTTGACTTATTCCTGGTTGAATCATATAATCACAGAATCACAGAACAGTTTGGGTTAGAAGGGACCTTAAAGCCCATCTAGTCCCAACCCCCCTGCCATGGGCAGGGACACCTTCCACTAGACCAGGTTGCTCAAAGCCTCATCCAGCCTGGCCTTGAACACTTCCAGGGATGGGGCATCTACAGCTTCTCTGGGCAACCTGTTCCAGTGCCTCCCCACCCTCTCCAGGAAGAACTTCTTCCTGATATCCAATCTAAACCTCCCCACTTTCAATTTAACCCCGTTACCCCTTGTCCTGTCACTACAGGCCCTTGTAAAAAGTCCCCCCCAGCTTCCTTGTTGGCCCCTTCAGGCACTGGAAGGTGCTATAAGATCTCCCCGGAGCCTTCTCTTCTCCAGGCTGAACAAGCCCAACTCTCTCAGCCTGTCCCCATAGCAGAGGTGCTCCAGCCCTCTGAGCATCTTCGTGGCCTCCTCTGGACTCGCTCCAAGTGGTCAATATCCTTCTGATGTTGAGGGTTCCACAGCTGGATGCAGCACTCCAGGTGGGGTCTCACCAGAGCAGAGTAGAGAGGCAGAACCCCCTTCCTCGACCTGCTGGCCGCACTTCTCCTGATGGAGCCCAGGATGTGGTTGTGAATGTTTGAATGTGGAAAGCTGTGTAGCTGTACAGGTTTTGCTAGGCAAAATACATGTTTTATAACCTAGTAGGTTTGCCTGACTTGTTTTGCTGGAATTTTTTGCTAGGTTCAGTACCATCTACATACTCTTTTGCTTTTAGGTGCCCTGGATCCCCCTGGACCCACTGAACCTGAGTCTGGAGTGGTATCCAGAGTACGCTCAGGCAAAACCTTTGCAGTGTGCAGTGAAGGCTGGTGAGATGTTATACCTGCCTTCCCTCTGGTTCCATCATGTTCGGCAGTCGCATGGCTGCATAGCAGGTAAGGCGCACCCTATTTCCAGGGGTGTTTTTGAAACACACGGTGGGTGTGCAGCTAGATGTCCCCACAGCCAAGCACAGCTGGGGCCTGAGGGCCGGTGTTTGTAACACGGAGCTCAGCAGTTTGTCTGCCTAGCCTGCTAACTGCTAATTAGAATAGAATCATAGAATCATAGAATCACTGGGTTGGAAAAGACCTTAGAGATCATCCAGTCCAACCGTATCTGCCCGCCACTAAACCATATCTCTCAGCACCTCATCCACCCGTCTCTTAAACACATCCAGGGATGGTGACTCCACCACCTCCCTGGGCAGCCTGTTCCAGTGTGTGATAACCCTTTCGGTGAAGAACTTCTTCCTTACGTCCAATCTAAACCTCCCCTGGCGCAGCTTGAGACCATTCCCCCTCGTCCGATCATCTGTCATTAGGGAGAAGAGACCAACACTCACTTCTGCACAACCTCCTTTCAGGGAGTTGTAGGCAGTGATCAGGTCTCCTCTCAGCCTCCTCTTCTCCAGGCTAAACCAGCCCAGTTCCCTCAGTCGCTCCTCATAAGACATATTCTCCAGACCCTTCACCAGTTTGAATTGGTCATCTACAGACCTTCTGCAGAGAAACTGTGTGTTGAGTGTGCCGTTACCACGTCAGCAAAAAAGGGTCTGGGGGGAAGAAAAGGAAAACAGAAAGTGCCTGAGTTTTAGGCACGGATGTAGACACAAGGTGGAAGATACTCTGTTGTCACGTGAGCTGGAATCTGCTCCAACCCAGGCTCCTACCTTGCTAGTAAACTTAGGCGTGTGTTACTGCTTTCCTGCACTTATCATCTCTTTTTTTGGTAGGATTTACCATCATATCTCTCCATCTTGGGTTTTTTTTCCCCAAAGAGAGTTCCAGAATTTCAATCATTGCTCATTAGGTGCTGGTGGAGGGGAGGGGGTAGCGCAAATTATTATCACTATGTCACGTAAATTTTGCAAGGTTTGGGGAAGAGTTGTTTTGCTGTCCTTTACTTGGAATAATCCTGTCTGCCCAGTGAGAGTTCGTAACAGTATTGAACAATCTAACGTTTATGTTTGTGCAACACTACAAATATTGCAAGCCCCTCTTTTTTTTCTCAGTATTTGCAGTGTTGTGACAAAAAGACAAGCCAGCAGTAAAGCAGTATTTCTGATTCTCTTTTCCCAATACTGCTGCATCAATCCTTAAAGATTTTTTAGAAGTAGGGTTGTTTCCAGCTGCAAGCCCCTCGCCACTCTCTTTTTCTCTGTCTAGCAGAAACGCTGGAGTTGCTGAGTTTATTTGGCCTTTAGTCTGTTGACTGCGCTACACTCTGTACACACTTGAAAAATCAATGTTCTCTGGGTCTGTCCCAGTGAATGCCTGAAGCTGGAGTATATCCTCCTCCAAGAACCACTGGTACAATATTATACTGCTTGGCATATTTTTTACTCTGGGTCTGTCCCAGTGAATGCCTGAAGCTGGAGTATATCCTCCTCCAAGAACCACTGGTACTGCTTGGCTTATTTTTTATAGGAGGCATACACCAAAATCAAAATGAGAAACAGAATGAAAGCACTGTGTAATTAATGACTCTTGTGAAGTAGTGGTGAATTTGGCATCCTTCACACACTCAGAGGAAGAGAGGTTCCCGTCCAGATATTAAACTTACTGTGTATTTGGTATTTTTGGTCTAAATAGAAGCATACATTCTGTGTTCCTAGACATGGCCAACTTCTGCTCCAGGGGCTCCCCAGTGTATAGTCTGAAGGGGAGTTAGTTTAGGTTAAGACAGGATTTCATTGACAGCACTATTAAAGAACTCTAATGTTTGCTTACGTTATTTTTGACGATAGTCAAAGATTTGCTCATGTCAAAGTTCAGTCAGTAATAAGGAAAAGCTGAACTGTGTAAAACAGTCTGTGAGCACGCTTGTAAATCATTACATCCTAGCCTTAGAAACGTTTTTCCTTTTTCTTGTCTCCTCAGTGAACTATTGGTATGACATGGAATATGACCCTAAGTACAGCTATTAATAACTACTGGGTGGTGTCTCAAAAGCCGTGGAAGTGTTGTCTCACAGCTGGGAGACTCAAGTTCGTGATCTCTCTCTCTGAGGTGATACAATCATCAGCATCTGTGACTGGAGAACAAACGTGATTCAAGTGAAAAGAACTGAACATTATTAAGATGTCCTCCACAAAATCTGTCCAACAGATCACGGCTGTTTTGCTTGGTTTCAGAGTTCAGATCAGTTGGCCAGGTTTTTTGGCTTGTTAAGTAGAAGGTTTGGTAATAGCATTTGTAGGTTTTTGCATGTTGCCTCAGTGACAGTGAACAAAATGAAATTGGAAGGGAGGATCCAGGCTTTGGATCTCAAAACAGAAGTCACAACTGTTTGCTCACATCTGCAGATTGTTTTTATAACAACGCGGGCGGAGAAGAAGGAATCTGCTCTGCCACCCAGCCCTGCGTCAGGCTGCATCAGTCCAGCACGGGCATTCTGCACGAGGCAAAAGTCTTGTCCAGTTGTAATTCACCGAGTTCAGTGACTGTGTTGTTTTGATGGTGGGAAATTGCAACTTCTGCAATAAAAGTTCAATTTAAAAGCTTATTTCTGTACTAATGTCTTACTTTTTTTTTCAAATGATGTGATAGGTGGAGGACATCTTGGAGGATGTGCAAAAGTCAATACTGGCTTTTTTCCATGTCAAGCTACGTGGTTTTATTGCTGGTTTTTATTTATTTCCACCACTGTATTTAAATGTATCTGCATTCCCTTACATCCTGTGTGGTGATTTTAGAGTTGCTTTGCCGGATCTACAGTCAATCTGCACCTCGCCCGTGGTCTCGTGGTGTGAGGTGTGATTCTGCAGCCTGTAGGCTCATTGATTGTTTCACTCCTTTGCCGTTAAGCGCTGCCTCACACGTGGTCAAGTGAGCTGTGTGAACCAGGAGCCTTTTTCTGCAGCCTTAATTCCCATTTGTATTTTCCACGGAACGGGATGAGACTACTCACATGTCTGAGACCCGCAGGGTAGGACTGGGAGGCTGTTAAATACACAGACATTGCAAAAATGTCGTATCATTGTTTATGAATACCAAAAGTTTATTGTCAAATCTTGAAGCAGTTCCTTAGAAACGTCAGCGAGATGAAGGGAGATCTATTTTCCACGTATTAATTAGGAAAATGCAGATACCCTTTAGACAAAGTTGGTTGTTATGAAGGAAAAAGTTAATAAGTTTTTAATTTGTCTCTTTTTTCTTTTAAAGGAACACAGTTAAAGCATCATTTTATCTTGTGTTGCTTGCCCAGACACTGCTGAAAACCCCAGAGGCATTAAGGGCAGGCTTTGTGTCACAGCTAGATTAAGATATCACGTTACCTCAGGCTTTCCAGCTTGTTTGTGTTCACCGTGCCTTGGAAAAGGCGCCCGAGCCAGTTCTACAGTCGGATCTGGGCTTTCCCACAGTCGGGGCCGGGAGGAGGGGGGGAAGACGATTTGAATATCTCTTTTTTGGTCACCCTGGGAGTTTTCTTCTCTCTGTACACCCGAAAGGACGGGGCTGGGAGGAGGGGGGAAGACGATTTGAATATCTCTTTTTTGGTCACCCTGGGAGTTTTCATTTCTTCTCTCTGTACAACCGAAAGGAAGGCTGCACGCCAGGAGCAAAGGGCAGCTTGTGTCTGTGCCAGTGGATGGCTCTCCATAGCTGGCGGAGGCGTGCTCCGAACTGCGTCTCCCAGCAGCCCGTGCCTGCCGGCTGCAGGAAGCAGTCACGGCGGTTCCTCCCGGACTTTGGGCAGGGATTTGAAGCCTGAGGAACATCAGGGCTGCTGACCCACGCAGAGCGGGGATGGCGGTGCAGGTGGCGGTTCTGCCATCCGCCAAGTGTCTGTTCGATGACGCCGTGCGGATCCGCGTGGCGGGCCTTCGGGCGCAGCAGGCCGGCACCCTCCCAGCCCGCCTGCTGGTCACCCTCCGAGCCAGCCTGCTGGATGACAGCGGGGAGCTCTTCCAAGCCCACGCTCGCTACAGGGCTGAGAGCAGCGGAGAGCTCGACCTCAGCCGCTCCCCGGCGCTCGGCGGCAGCTATTCGGGAGTGGAGCCGATGGGACTGCTGTGGTCTCTGAAGTCTAAAGCGCCCTACAAGCGGCTGGCAAAGAGGAACGTCCTGACCCCTTTCTGTGTGGACTTGGAAGTGTATGAGGGCCACGGGGACATGGGGCAGTTGCTGGGAAAATGCACCAATGAGCGATGGTTTTTAGGAGAGGGGGTGAAGAGGATTTCAGTCAGAGAAGGTCGTCTGAAAGCAACCCTCTTCCTCCCTCCCGGTGAGTTTTAACTCCGTTTTGGTTTTCCAGGGGTGACTGACACCACGTGTTGTGCCCCATGGCCCCTGGGAGCGCTTGGGAACCCAGAGCAACGCCTCGGCTCATGGCTCCCTCAACCTGTGCTTGGTCCAGCCTGAGAGCAGAGCATTGCCCAGGCAGACCAAGTGCTGAGGCGGGGGGGTGCAGATGTCCCGTTTGCTCTAGCCCCTGGTCAGGGCTTCACCTGTGGTGCTGGGGAGAAGCGTTGCTTAGTTCATAGCGGTTCTGTTTAGCTGACAGGATAAAGAGGCCCCTCATCTTTGGCAGAGCCGTGAGGCATGACAGCTCTGGCCGTGGAGTGTGGAATGATGAGATGTGGTGGGAGCACTGGACTTGGGCTGCAGCCAGACTAGGCTGCTTCAGCAGCTGCCACGGATCTTCCTGCAGGCTCCAGACTTGTCTTCCTGTCTCTTTCCTTGGCTAAGGAAAAGAAGTCTCTACATGCTTGAGCAGTTTGATTGCATAGGATACTTAGGAAGATGTGAGACAAATGAGAAAATTGATCTTTAATATAATCTTTAATATTCCACAATTCTATACAGAGACAGTGCCAAGACTGGATCCTGAGTAAAGCTGCTCTGAGCCCTGAACTATTCATATACTTGAATATCTTGCTCTGTAATGAATAAAAAGTCCCTCGCAGCTGCTGCGACACCAGATCTTGTAAGGGAAGTCTGGTTATAAGAATGGGCAGAGCAGAATGAGGGAAGGAAGGTCCTACAGCTGCAGGAGGAGAGCTGAGAAGCCCAGTTTCAGCTGAAATTCGGAGTGGGAGAAGGATGCCAAACATATAAACTTCCTATAGTGAGTTCCTAAGAGAGAGAAATATCCAAATCCATGTCCTTGCAGTGACTGTATGCATACCTGAGAATGAGAACCTCTGTGGAAAGCTTCAGGGAATGATTTCCTTTTGGTATCTACTGTCCTGATGTATGCTGAGGAGGAATTACTGAAAGGACAGCTATAGAAACTTTTTTCTTTTGAGCACATACATATACATCTACACACACCTTTCATTGCAGGACCTGGTCCATTCCCTGGACTTATCGATTTGTATGGATCTGGAGGAGGTCTTGTTGAATACAGAGCAAGTCTTCTGGCTAGCAGAGGCTTCGTGACTCTGGCTGTTGCATACATGGCCTTTGAAGATCTCCCTGCTATGCCAGAGGTGCTTGAACTGGGCTATTTTGAGGAAGCTGTAAACTTTTTGCGGAAGCAGCAGCAGGTAAGAGACAAATTACGGTACTCATCCTGTCTGAAACTGTTTTCCAGTCTTCTCATGTGAAATGTTATATGTCACTGAATGCACCTAGGTTTCTGAAATGTTAGAAGGAGACAGCATTGTGTGAAAGACAGCATGATCTGAGAGGTGGAAAAGCATGCGCCTCAACTCCAGTTTCGCAAGGAGTTGGATAGCTGGTTTTGCACAGCATCTTACGACAGTCCATGGAATGATGTGCAAACCAATGTTTCTGTAAGATTAAATTGAAGCAGTTCCTGGACTAGAAGCACAAAACAAATTATTTTTTTTTTCCCCCTCTATTTTTGCATCTTTCAAGATTTTACAAGGGAAAAAAAATCCACTGACTTTTTCTACTATTTCTGAAATGTTACAGGCTTTTGATTCTAAGTTTCACAAGACAGTAGTAAAACACGTTAATAACATTATCCCTTACAGTGGTAACACTGGATTGTGTGCCATGTCTTAAGAAGCTGTGGCTGTATTTGAACAAGTGCGTGGGATGAGAAGGAGACTTCATAGCCTTGTATCATCGTGCTTAAACCAAAAGAGACCAAGAGAAATCAAGTAGCATTTAAACTTTGAATGGAATGCGACTTAATGTGGTATTCATTTCCAAAGTTATTTATTTTCTTAGCATGTGGATACTAGGAATGTAGCCAGTGTGAGGGCAGAATTCAGCCTTTCTTGTTTGTCTTGTTCATCATGGAGCTCTGAAACTTCCGGAGTATCTTACAAGACACATGTTACAAAATTAATTTGGTGTGAAAAGCCTTCGCTATAAGTAAGTTGATTTAAACAGTTGTCGGGCTTACTTGGCCTCAGGTAATGAACCTTATGCGTTCCAAGACCAAACAGAAGACAAAAGGTCAGCTGTAGGAGAGTATAAAAAATCAATGGCATGAAAGAAAATCAATGTGAATAGACCCATGAAAAAGAGGTTTTTCCAAAAGGGACCTGAGGAGAGAAAATTGAGGGGATTTGGAGTCAGGAGCAGTAAAAGATAGACACTGAGAGCAAGTGTCTAGCCACGATTTGGATGGAGCAAAAAGGCTTTGTCTGTAGAGGTCACCAGGAAGGTCACCAGTCTTACAGAAGGAGAAATGTTGGGGGAGCTGTAGAATTCCTAGTCTTGTGGAGGTTCAGCAAAGGGATAGACATGGGAGTGATGTTAACTGAATAGAGAGAGGTAAGGGGTGAGATATGGGTGGTCTTAGTTGGATGAGGAGTGAGGAAGCAGAACTGGAGATGTTACGTTAGCCCAGGAAATGAGGAGTAGTTGGTAACGGTTGTTTCATAACTATGTTTCAGGTGAAAGATACTGGGATTGGCGTTTTGGGCTTGTCTAAAGGAGCTGATCTAGCCCTTTCCATGGCCACGTTTCTACCTGGCATCAAGGCAGCTGTCAGCATATCTGGAAGTGGGTTTAATTCTTTCATTCCCCTGCAGGGGAATGGCTTCACTATTCCTTCCCATCCATATGATTTGGGGAGGATGAAGACCAGTGATGAGTCTGGCCTAATAGATTTTACGGATGTCCTACATGATCACAGGGATCCCGTGACGTGGAATTGTCGCATTCCTCTGGAGAGGTCCTTGGCCAAGTTCCTCTTCCTTTCTGGACTGGATGACACAAACTGGAAAAGTGACCTGTATTGCCAGGATGCTGTCCAGCGCCTTCAGCAGTATGGACGGGATGTGGAGTTCTGCTCCTATTCCGGAGCAGGGCACCTCTTGGAGCCACCATACTTGCCTCTGTGCCAGGCTTCGATCCACAGAGTGCTTGGGGCGTTTGTGCAGTGGGGAGGGCAGTGGAAGGAGCATGCCAAAGCCCAAGAAGATGCATGGCGCAGGATACAGGCCTTTTTCTGGCAACACTTGGTGGAGTCAGACAACCCTAAGAGCAAGCTGTAGTGGAAGCTCTCAGAGATGCTGACCAGGGTTGTGTCGTGGTTTGACTCCAGCTAGC